ACCTTCTGATCTGGAGTGCTTTTTTTAATTTTTATTTATTCAGTCTAAATATATACAAGTATTAATATTCGACAGCCAAAAATAAACAATAAAAAGCTTTACATTATTTGATAATTATACACATACATGTCTGAATACTTTCAGCCCTCCATACATACCTTTCATCCACACACAGTTAAGAATGTTTATTCCTATTACATTTATTTTTTAGTTTTTGGCCCACAATTCGGCGTAACTTGGGCTACGTGATATCCGTCCCAATAGGGACTGTAAGACGGTGACAAAAAAAGAAGTAAAAAATCACCATATCGGTTTATCTTAAGTTTAAAACTTAGGCTTACAATTAGATCTAATGACTAGTAGGACCGGAAGGCGGTAAGGCGATATTGCCTTCTTCTCCGTCGGATACCCGAGTTGGTGCTGCTGTTAGGTTGCTCTGCCTTTTCTTCTTATTTCTTGGTTTCTTCTCCACGTTTTGTAGCCGTTGCTTTAGCTCTGGTATGTGTTTTGCATCGGCCTTTAGCCACCAGTATTTAGCATCGAGTCTGCTTCTATCCTCATAGTCGACTCTGGGGATGCTTCTCGAGTACTTGGACCTGGTTTGTACAATTTCAGCGTAGCTAGGTGGAAGCTTTTTGTTCGCTTTGTGCCTCCCGTAATGGTAGATTATTGGCGTACCATTGGAGTCTTGGATTATTCCATTTCTATCATGAGTAATGAAATCCTGGGGCTTGATGTACCCTCGGCTGGCAGCTGCCCTCGCCCGGTTCTCCTCCGTCTCGCCCAGCTTGTTGATTAGCTTGTTTTCTATTACTCCGAGTCCTGCCATATAGTCTCTTGTCAGCCTCAATATATAGCAGTCTATTCTCGGTATATTGGCCATATCATATATTTTTTTATTACTAATTAGATGTTTGTAATTAGATTCCCGCGATCTGTGTTTGCCTAGCGCGCTTCTCAGGCACGTCCTTTCAAAGCAGCGCAGTTGTTCCATGTGCGCCGCTCCAGTGTTCCACCACATTGGGGCCGCGTATGTGAGCAGTGATCTTACAAAGATTTGGTACATTATGACCTTTGTCCTACTGTTAACAATGGTTGGAAGCCGTGCCATAGATTGATAAGCCTTCCTGGCTTTCTCCAACTGGATGTCCACGTGTTTGGTGCCTCTTGCAAGGTGGTCGATATGAAATCCGAGATATTTTACCTCTTTCTTTGTCGGGATATCAATTCTTTCATTCGTTCCTGGAACGGTGGTTGCGATTGAAAACGAATTGATACCCTCTGCCTTCTGGGTGGACAGATTGCTCCTGGGATTCCTGAAGAGGATTGTTTCACATTTCTCTGGATTCATTCGCAGATTCCACATTGCGTAGAATTTATTTATTCTATTCACGAGGTCCTCCAATTGGACTTTTATTCTCGGTATCCGTGTGCCAGCAACGTAGACTATCAGATCGTCAGCAAAGGCTATCGAGTAGGTGTTGTTTCCAGTGTTCAGCTCAAATGAGTTCAGGATGGCAGCGGTGAATATTATAAAGAGTAACGGTGAGTTGACCGTGCCCTGTTGGAGTCCCTCTTGTATCTCGTAAGTATTTGATTTTCTTGCCCCTTCGTATACAAAGAATTTCCTGTGGTGTATCATGTCGGAGATGAGTCTGACGAGGTGCACCGGAAAATTGAATAATGCATAGTCGTAGTGATTTTTCATATCAATGTGATGAAAAATACAATATACATATGATAAAAATTACTACACATGTATTTTTTTTACAAACTTTTTCTTTATATGATGCGATACAGTGCAGAGGATCACTATTCATTTACATGGTATCGATAAATTCATAACCGACTAGAAATTTCGGTATACTCTGTGACAAGAGTCCCTAACCAGATACGGAGTATCCGAGCGAACACTAGTCCGCTGCCGCGCCACTAGGTGGCCAAGGCAACTCGCATGAAAAAACGTAGGACCGGCTAAATAATTAATCCGTCGATTTTGCATAACTTGAACTACGTGATATCTGTCCCAATGGGGACAGAGATTAAGGAGTATCCAAACGGCGTTCTTGGATTAATCCGTTGGAAGATTGGAAGCCGTGCCATAGCTTGATACGTATTCCTGGCTTTTTGCAACTGGATATCGACGTCTTTGGGCCTCTCGCAAGGTGGTCGATATGAAATCCAAGATACTTAACCTCTTTTTTTGTCGGGATATCAATCCTTTCATTCGTTCCTGGAACGGTAGTTGCGATTGAAAAAGAATTTTGATACCCTCTGCCTTCTGGGTGGACAGATTGCTCCTGGGATTCCTGAAGAGGATTGTTTCGCATTTCTCTGGATTCATTGGCAGATTCCACATTGCATAGAATTTATTTATTCTATTCACGAGGTCCTCCAATTGGACTTTTATTCTCGGTATCCGTGTGCCAGCAACGTAGACTATCAGATCGTCAGCAAAGGCTATCGAGTAGGTGTTGTTTCCAGTGTTCAGCTCAAATGAGTTCAGGATGGCAGCGGTGAATATTATAAAGAGTAGCGGTGAGTTGACCGTGCCCTGTTGGAGTCCCTCCCTCTTGTATCTCGTAAGTATTTGATTTTCTTGCCCCTTCGTATACAAAGAATTTCCTGTGGTGTATCATGTCGGAGATGAGTCTGACGAGGTGCACCGGAAACTTCTTTTTCTTCATGAGAGTGAAGATTAGGCCGTCAAGCCATACGGAATCAAAGGCTTTTTCCAAGTCTATAAGAGTTGCTCCTACTGCCGCCTCCCTTTTGTTTAGGTGGTGATTAACATCGGATAGTAATTTGTTGATCGCGTGTGTCGTCGAGTGTTTATATCTGAAACCGAATTGGTTGTCAGGTAGAATGCCATTTGTCTTGGCATGACTAAGTATGGCGTCATTAATTACCATCTCGTACACCTTGCTAAAGCAAGAGGTGAGGCTTACTGGTCTATAGCTCGAAGGATCTTCTGGAGATTTGCCTTTCTTCAGTAATGGCTTGACTTTTGCCGTTTTCCACATTTCCGGAAAATAACTGTTGTTCAAGGCGTTGTTGAACACTATAGTTATTTCATTTATTATTCTCCTAGGCAGATGTTTCAATATTATCGATGGTATGCAGTCCATTCCGCTTGATGTTTTGTTTGGTAAATTTCTCAGGATTCTTTGCATAGACTCCGGCGTGGTAAAGTACTTTTCGTTTTCACTAATGGGCTTCGGCGTTAACGAGAGATTCTCGGCGTCAAACTCCACCACTGGACTCGACGAGTTCCTGCACTCGTTGTAAAATGTCGCGACTCTGTTATCAATGATTTCTTTTAGCCTTGATCCGTTGTTTAGATATCTTGGGGAGTTGATGCTTTCGTAAAATGCTCCCAGCACATTAAGTTTGTCCACCGTATCCGTGAAAATTAGCTTGTCGTCTACCAGCGGAATATTATTTCTATCAATGTTGTCCAAGATCTTGTTATTTGCCGCCACCTGCAGCGAGCTGATCTCCTGATGATTACTCGGTTTGAATAATTTTTTGGCTGTTGGTAGAAATTGATCCGGGTTTTTGAAATTAATCTTTTTGGCGTAGATATTTAGCCAATTCTTCTCCTCTCTTGCTATTATTTCCAGTTTGATTAGTTTTTTGATTTCCTTGATACCGTCCTTTAATTCTCTGGTATAATTTTTCCTGACAGTGGGGTCGGTTCTTCGCTCTTTGTTATACTTTGTGAGAAGCGACGATTTCATTTTCAGCAGTGTTTGGACTTTCTTATTCATTAATTTTTTTATGTCATTGACTTTCCGTACCGGGACGACTTTTCTTATTACCTCCCTAATATTGTTTGAAAGTATGTCCAGGTACTTATCAATTTCCTTATTTGTGAGATTTCTGTTCGTTGGGCACGTTTCTGTGTGCGTTGAAATTAGCGTCTTGGCAAATTTCTTCCAGTTTGTTAGCTTATAGATGACGATCGAGGGTACCTCTTTTGTTATTATGTTCATCGATTGTTCTAACTTTACCTTGATTAGCAGGGCCTTATGGTCGCTATCGTGGTCCTCGGTTGGTATTTTTCCGTTTTTTAGATTTATGATTGACAACCCGCTGTCGGCTATGCATAGGTCTAAGTACGATTGAGCTGGTATGTACTTGGGACCATTTGGTGAGTATAGCTTGCTCCTATATTTGTCTGAAAAGTTTTTAATCCAATCGACGAGGTATTTCCCTCTTCTGTTGCTCTTGTGGTCTCCATAATCGGCATGTCTGGCATTTAGATCGCCGGCTATTAAGTAGCTGTTGTTGTTCTTGTGCAGCTGAAGATTGTCAAACAAGGAGCTCATCTCGTCCAGGAAGATTTGCTTGTTGCAGATGCTATTCGTGGCATAGATACTAACAACCACGAGCTTTCGCGGGCCTTTGGTTTCTATTTTAACAATAGAGTATTCTATTATTCCGTTTTGTCGGGAGCTTGGGTATGTTATGGTGGTGTGTTCAATGTTGTTCTTAATTATTATGGCAGTTCCTCCGCCTCGTGAATTTTTGGCCGATCTGTCTGTTCTTATGACCTCGTAGCCGGGAACATTAACCTTGTGCTTGTCGTTCAATTTTGTTTCGCTCACTAGGAGCATGTCGAGTTTCTTCTCCGCGAGGAATTGCATTAGGGTTAACTGTTTTTGGTGCGATGCAATGGAATTTGCATTAACCGCTGCTATTTTTAGTACTGACGGCGCATTATCCATTATGCTTCTATTATGTTAAGTTCCTCTAGAAGATTGTCTATTCTCGTGTGCAACTCACGTCTAATATCTCTGATCATATTCTCCATATTGCTCAGAATGTCGTTTCTAAGGTATAAAGCCCACTGAGGCGGTGGTCCTTGTTCCATTGTTGGCTGGAACGCGTCTTGGTTGCGCTCCGCTGGCGCGTTTGGTGCGTAATTCTGTTGCGTGTTTATCGGCACCTGATTATGCGTGGCCCTCGCATACGATACGTTACTTTGTATTGTCCTGCTTGGTTTTCTTGTTTTGCTGCCAGTGGGTTTTTTCGTCGTTTTCATTGACTTGATCACGTTTATTGCCTTTTTATAGTACGCGCATCCTTTGTAGCTCGCCGGGTGTCCAGTTTCGTTACAATTTGCACACCTGAGGCTGCCTTTTTCACTCTCCTTTGGGATTTTGCACTCCTGCGGTGGATGAGTTAAACCGCACTTTACGCATCTAGAAGGTAAGTTACAATTAATACTGGCGTGTCCAAACCTTTGACACTTGTGGCATTGAAATATTTTCTCTTTACGGAGTGGCTCCCATAAAGCTACCTGGTGCGCAATTACTTTGATTTGCGTCAACTCGGCAACTTTGTTGCTGTGGTCTATTTGCACGATGAAGTTTTGCCTTCCTTTGGTGCTGTTAAATCGGGCAGCAAAGACTTTCTTAATTATGAGACTAGGCTCCTTTTTCCTGTTGATCTCCTCTTCTATGTCGGCAGCATCGAAACCGCCGTTGATTCCCTTTAACACCATCGATTTAGGTTTTAAATGCTTCGGTGTGTGTGTAAAGAAATGTAGGCCGTTATCAGTAAGCGTTAGCTTTAGCTTCTGATACGTGCTTACGTTTCTTGTTGTTACCTTCACAAATGTAGATTCTCCTGGAGCGCTCAGCCTGTAATCATTCTGTTCATTGAGATTGTTATCGAACAGGTTGATGAGATCCTTGATTTGTGCACTCTTTTTGTGGACAAAAATGCTTAAGGTTATGTTCTTTTTTGTTTCTCTGGGTTCCTCAGAGCCAACGTTACCTGGTTGAGTCGCTCCTGAACCGCTGTCTTGTAGCATTTCAAAGCTGTTGTTGGTTGGCGTTTCTTTTGGTTCCGGCGATGCTGCTGTTCTACCTCGTTTACGTGCAATCTGCCATCCCTCGTTGTCCTGAGTGGCTTCGTCATTGGATAAAATCATAGGAGGATTATTCTCCTGTTGTCTGTTATCGTTGGTCGCCCTCGAATTTGCTAGGTTAGGTCGCACATTGTGCTTCGCCTGTCTGCCTTCGTCTTTCAAAAGTTTTTTGTATTCCCTGTCAATCAGGTCCGTCAAATTTACCTTTCCAATTTTTACTGCCTTGCTCCTTTCGTCCCCTGGGGTGGTTTCACCTTTCCTTTTATTTGGTCGTTGGAATTGACCCGCTCCACGTGGCGAGACCATGAATTTTTAGGTTAGCCCAGTGGGCCCAGCACTATTTCTTGTATTTCTTCAGTCGCGCACAATTAAATGGAACCAAATGGCTCAAAATGATGGGGTAGGCGAGCCTGACCCGAAAAACTCGTTTTTTAATTATTTTTGCCAAAAAAAAAAACAAAACTTTTGACTTGACCCCGACGTGATTTGAACACGCAACCTTCTGATCTGGAGTCAGACGCGCTACCGTTGCGCCACGGAGTCTTATTATTCGTTTGATGCTAGATGGAGAATAACAAGAAGACGAGCTGAGGTGTTTTGGAAATTATTTCATGTGGCACTCGTATGACAATAGATCGTAATGTGAAACATGCTACAACATCTTAATGGCTAACTGTCGCAGCTGAAGTGTCATGTTAGATCTATTGACATAGTTTCCGGCGACTGCTTAGAGCTCATATGCAAAGGAAATTTGACAACTGAGTTAATAAATTTACAATTGAAAGAATGAAAAATAAATGAGCATAAAGGATGTACACCAAAAGAAATAAAATAAAGCTCACGACGAGGATGGGATTCGAACCCACGCGTGCAGAGCACATTGGATTAGCAGTCCAACGCCTTAACCACTCGGCCACCTCGTCTTGTCTGTACATTTTCTCCATAAAGTTTTATTAGAATACGTTAACTTTTATTTCATTTGTAACCTGCGATCATATTACAAATAATTTTATCTGAGGGAATATTTAATTCGCAATTTCTCGAAATTTATTTCATATTTCACAACATGGTACATGCCATTTAGAAGTGTCTTGAGAGTAGCTATGAGGCGCATACGGTAAACATAAATTACAATAACGTTGACCGTTCGTTGATAAATAATAACACGAAGATGGAAGCATTTAAATATTCTCAGTACCTAGTTGCATTTTAGATTCAAGTATACCTAAGATATTTCGGTCGCGAGTAAGAAAGCTTTCGCAAGGGTCATATTCCTATGACTTTTAACGTAATAGAGTCCCCTGAGCAAGGATCTTTTACTCGTTAAACAACTGTAGGTATATATTATTATATGTGTATTGTAACATTATTCGCACGATGCGGTTCTCCGGATCGTGCCAGAAAGGCGGGTTCGAGCCAGAATCGACTCTTAGGAATTTAGGAAAGATATCAGGCGGAACAAATGAAAGTGAGACTTTGTTTTACATGTTACAAAAGAAAAGTATATTGTCCTACAACGGAATACAAAAAGGGTTAGTGCAGTACCAGCCTAGAGAATGCTGGATGTTAGTAAGGGAAGAATAGATATAAACGTTAACGGAAAGCAGTTATTATAAATTTATATAAGTTATTATAAATGGTATATACAGATGATTAGTGATCGGAAAGTCAATTGTATCGATACGATGATTAGACGCGGGTTATCTACACGGATACGTCTGTCAGGAACGGGAATAATAGGTTCTTCTATTATTCTTGTTATCCTATCTTGACTAATGTTGTGATTGTATAAATAAAATATGGAATCGTGTCTGAAAGCAGCCTCCGACGGGCGGAATGTTATTACAATGTTGACTCGTTAAAATTGTGACGTGATTTTTCGAAGCACGGTCCCAAGGTGGCTCCGGTTACCGATAAAGATAACGTTCTCGATTTTTGGTTCCCTTCGGGTCGCCACCCTGCTCAGAAGCTACGCTCTCGGGTTGATTCGTACAGTTATGTCAATGCTCTCGTAAGATTTCGTCATTGTTTAGTTGAGGTCGAGGGACTTGAATCTGCCGTGGGGAGATAGTCTCGACGTACCGAATTGCCCGGCAGAGGAGAGTGCCCGACGGAGACGTCTCCACGGACCGGTAGAAGCCCGGGACGGTTTGCTCGTTGCATTAGTAAAGGTAAGCTAACTAGCTCAGGTGCTAGAATGCTCGAATCGTGAAACGTCGCCGTTTATATGTATACCCGTGAACGGTGGGCCAGTGGGCTTAAGAGGTGCGGGAGAATTGGGCGTCGTGATGCCTACGAATTGTTATTATTTAATGCTTAAAGTTATTCGGATTAGCGGAATTTTATTACTACCGTGATGCGAATATCCTCGGATGTATTGGTTACAGTATAGACCACAAGTTTAATGCCAAAACAGATACGTGGCATGCATCTAGTAGGGTCCGCTGAATCCCTGTATTCTTTCTAGGGATAGGGAGACTCTGGACCTCCTATTCCCATAGAAGTAAAATGTTAGCGAAAATCATAAACAGGTTTTTTGACAAAGTGGAGATCAGCACACATTCTGCAAGGGTTACAATCATTTTGACACCACTTTCGTAATAAGTAAGCCGGAAGTAAAAGAATAATCCGACCCGCAAATTTCGACGTGAATGTAAAAAATGCGAAAAATGTCGGGTCGGATTACTCTTTTTCAATTTTGGGTTAATAATTATGTGATTCACAACAAAGAGGCCCCACTCACTCACGCCACCCAGCCAGAGCGCGAGCACGCACGCCGGCCCAGCATGACCCTAAGTCCCATTAGGAGGGACTCATAGCGACCTCTAACAGTGTTTCCTTCATTTATTGCCGCTCACAAAGCAAAGGGTCTTCAGTACAAAAGGAGAAGGTACATACACAAAGTATTAGTATACCGATGTTATAAAGCAACTGAACTCTTATATTTTAGTATAAGTAAAGGCAATAATAACAATAGAATACCGCAATAACTCGCGGTATGAAATCAGGAAACAAGGAGCTCTACCATACCGAGCGACTGAGAAGCAGTAACGACAGCGCTCAGTCGAATTCAGTCGAATTGAGTTCGTCACACGAGCATGTCGTCCGTGCCCACTGTGCTTGGCGGGTGTCAGAATCAAATTCCCATAAGGTTAATTCTCTTCACTAGTGCCTACTCGGTGATACGGTAGAGTTCAGTGGAGTCTGGTCACGATCAGTCTGGTGGGTCTGGTGAAGTCATGATAAGTGGAGTTGGCACATTTTCTCATTGGAGGAGACAGCCATAATGTATGTATGTATGTACACAATATGCGCTGATACCAGCTGATACGTGACTTTACACTGAATTACACGCATAGCAAATATTTTTGTTCGTGGGATTCAAAGCTGTGCCTGCGACTAATATGTGGAAACAATTGAAATCATTGGGTAATCATCGTTATTGCTGTCATCATCGATCACGCAATCGTTTAAATGAGTATTAGATTGCACGATTATTTGCATTCCTCGAAACGTCAACTTACCAGGAGATTGTAATATGTATGTATATTGTCGTCAGTGTTCGATAACGGTTGACGGCCATACAGCAACCGTATGACGCGTACATAATCACTTGATAATTGTAGCACTCCTTTAGCAATGACGACGTTCCTGTTGAGTAATGTCGTTTAGCCAATAGCAAATCAAATTATGCTCGTGGTATGCTACTTCTGTGTTCATGCCATGCTGAATAGAAACAGAGCTCGGAAACCAGGTCCAACGTTGCCATCGCCACATCATGGATAGAAAAACGGCTGTTAAGTTTACTCCTGTTTACGAATTGGACGTTCGAGAATACCTATCGAGCGAATTCACTCGATTAACAAGTATGTAAGCCTAATAAAATTATGCATTTTTTTCACTCTGTTGCATAAAGTCGCGTACTGTGCTGGCAGTATTCAATTATTCCACTGTATTATAGACGAATGTTACCTGGATCATGCTGGAGCGACACTCTACTCAAAAACACAGATTAACAAGGTGGTTAATGATCTAAATTCCGCACTTTATGGGAATCCACACTCTGCTGGTTCTGCTTCAAGCAGTAGTGTACATGATATCATTGAACGAACCAGATTTAGGTAATTATGAAGGGAGCAATACCATTTAAAGCTCTCTCAATTGATGCTTTCTAATTCTATCTAGGATCCTCAAGCACTTTCACACTTCCACTAAGGAGTACGATGTGATCTTCACCTCAGGTGCTACTGCTTCTTTGAAAACAGTAGCTGAGACATTTAATTTCAAGAATAATGGGGATAAGAAATCAGGATACTTTGTGTATGCTCAAGACAATCACACTTCGGTCCTTGGTATGCGAGAAGTGGTTAAAAGAAATGGTGCTACTGTAATTAGTCTCGATCGTGATAAACTCCTAAAAATATTTAGCGAAGATTACTGCGTTTCGAAGAAGAACGTTGATGAAGCAGACAATAATTCTCTTTTTGTATACTCAGCGCAATGCAATTTCTCTGGATTCAAATGTCCATTGAGTTGGATCGAAGCTGTTGAAAATGGTATTTTAAACAAGACAATATTTGGAGAGTATGCCAATAACACGAGATGGTATACATTTCTGGATGCCGCATCTTTTGCTGCTACCAATGATTTAGATTTGTCAATATATAAGCCAGACTTTGTATGTCTCTCCTTTTATAAGATGTTTGGTTATCCAACTGGAATTGGTGCTCTGTTAGTTAAGAATTCCAGCGCAAGAGTATTAGAAAAAGTGTATTATGGCGGCGGTACTGTAGAAATCTCTCTCAGTTCGAATAATTTTCACGTAAAACGTCAAGTGCTGCACGAAAGGTACACTGCATGCCTAGAATATAATGAAAATACCGCGAGTACGCGCTTTGTGTGAAGTAAGAACATATTTTTCTTGCAGGTTTGAGGACGGTACAATTCCATTTCTCGCTATCGTGTCTCTGCAATATGGATTTGATGAATTGTCCAAGATATCCCAAAAAGTGATATCGCAACACGTCTTCTCCCTGGCGCAGTATCTTTATTCTATGCTGGCGAGTCTACGGCATTCAAACAGAAAGGCAGCAGTTGTGCTTTACGCCGATACTCAATATAACGATTGCGATAACATGATACAAGGTGGAATCGTTTCGTTTAATCTCATGCGCTCTGACGGTAGCTACATCGGCTATATGCAAGTTTTACATATGGCCGCATTATACAATATTCATTTGAGAACGGGTTGTTTTTGTAATCCGGGAGCGTGTCAGCGACATTTACGTCTTTCAAACGAAGAGGTTTTAAAAAATTACGACGCTGGCTACATCTGTGGTGGAAAGAGCGATCTCATAGACGGAAAGCCGACTGGAGCGATCAGAGTTTCCTTTGGCTACATGTCAACTGTCGAGGATGTTCAGAAGCTTCTCGCTATGATCGATGAATGCTTTCTTGAGAAAAATTTGACTTACACAAGAATCTTGAAAGATACTGAAAAAACAAGAGATATCGTAACAGCGAGTGAACTCTCGAGCCCACGAGCCGGTGCACTGCCGAGACTTTTGCAACTGTTTGTATATCCTGTTAAATCGTGCGCGGCCTTCGAAGTGCTGGACTCCTGGACGATTACCCCGCGAGGATTACAATATGATAGAGAATGGATGATTGTCACTGCGTCCGGAGCCTCCTATACGCAAAAACATCAAAGCGCACTCTGTCTTATCAAACCGTGCATCAAGGAAAAAGAGAACGCTCTGGAGTTGCATTATCCTGGTAAGAGATTCTAAAATATTTAATCTGAAATGTTGGGTATCGCGTATTCGACTGTGCCTAATAGGAAAGCAGAGTTATATCGAGGAATCGATTTCTGAGAGAATCACACGAATCGCCTATAGCAATGATTAACGTCAAATCGTTTCAGGTATGCCGCTCATACGCGTACCATTGAGATATTCTTTTGTTAACGATGCCTGTCTCGATAAACCGATGTGTCATAGCAGAGTATGCGGTCATGGAGTCAACGGTACGGATTGCGGTTCCGAAGTTGCTGAGTGGTTGAGTCTAGCCTTACGTCGTCCGGGACTTAGGCTTCTACGAAAATTGCGAGAAACGAATGGTACGCATAAAACTGAAGTCCAATGACTAAGTTATTCGACAAATTTCGTCAATCGTATTAATACATACAGTTTCGTATCGTCACTTGGATACAGAGAACGAGAGAATTGAGAGCGGTAGCAGTTTGACTTTATCCTTTTCGAGCCAGTCTCAGTACTTATTGATAAACAGAGAAAGCTTAAAATGGTTGGCAGACCGAATTCCCCACGATTCTGATTGTAACGTAGAAACGCTTCAGCAGCGATTTCGAGGAAATTTTATTATTTCTTGTGAACGCCCATTTCAAGAGTGTGAACCGAACCAAATTTGTGTAGTAGGAATCAATGAGTTTAAGGTAAGCTTTTGAGAATTTTTCAATGTGACGGCAATAACCGGTGACTCTGGCGCTAGGTGAAAGGACCGTGCACAAGATGCCAGATGATATGCGTCGACCAAACAACAAGCCGCAAGACTGTGGAGCCATTACGAACATTGGCGAAAGAATTTAAAGGAAAAATTTCTTTCGGAGTATACCTCGACGCAGGCAAATCTCAGACTAACGTCGATGCAGTAGTCCAAATCGGAGATCCGATTTATTTCTCATAATACATTGCATTTCTTTTTCTACAGTTTAGACGTAATTTGCGGAGTTTCATTTCAGGATATGGCACAATCAATTGGCTGCTGTCCTTCAATCTTCTTAATCGGCATACCATGGGAAACGGCTTTCGCAAGATCAGACACTGCCTCGAAGTCGGGAAATGCCATCGTCTGGAGTTTTGAGTAAACCAATTGATCGTTGATTTTTACTTCGAACGAGGCTGATAACGGAAGGGAAGTGAATCTTCAAGAAATTTATTTGGTGTGATTTCAATATCTATATATGCCAAATTGCAATCAATGCGAATAAAAATGACAATAATGTGAACACAAGTGACTACGTATATTGCATATACACGTGCATACCTTGCCTTCCCTCGGTACCCGATATCTTAACATTTGGCACAGCTTTCCTAAGCAGCGTCGCCAAGTCGATAAACTGTGTCCTGTGACCGCACGATCCGCTGTAAGAACAACATTTATTGGGTCGCTGATGCGTTCGTCTTCGTATGAACTACGTGATTGTCGTTAGCCAAAGAAAATTATTAATATTATTATTATACGGCGTAGTGTGTCTAAAGTATTCCCATGATGAAAGCAAGAAATGAAGTGTATAAACTCACCAATACTCAACGTCTATGCGTACGTCAGACATGTTTGTCGGTTGTACCGGTAGCACGTCTGGTGGCGAACATCGGTACCACAGTCTACGAGATCTTGAGATTCGCACTGATTTGTGAGTGGTGCAGATCGTGCAGATTGCAGATCATTAGAGATTTTCTTAGATCGTTCAATGAAACGGACAACAGTGGAGGATGAGGGTTTAATAACTCTTCGCAACCCCGTCACAACTCTTCGCGACAGATGGCAATATATAAATATAGTCGAAGGAACAAGAAGGATGCACAGAATACACAGAATTGAAGGCGTAACTCAACGTATGAGTCACGTACACGATGTTGGAAATCTCAAAAGCAGCGAATCATCGCTAACCATTTCTTCGTTAACACTCGTCGTTTTCATTCCATTTTGCGGAAAAACACACGGGTCAGTGCGGCTTATTTTTACCATTCGAAAACTTGTAAGAAGACATTCAAACAGATTCTGTGATCAAACTTAACCTAAAATAGTATAACCTCAAGGTATGTGAAATAGTTTATTACATTGTTAACTCTGTTCGTTGCGTGTACGTCATAGGGAATGTACCTGCACTGCGGTAAGTGCAATTCCGAATGCGCGCCATTTTTTTTTCTACGAGCCACCTGTCGCGTTGACGACATTTCCAGACAGTTCGCGAACAAACGACTCTAGTGACGTACATACGTGACATCGCCGTCAACCTGACTGTAGTACTGAAGTCGTTTCATTTATCTTCATAAAACGCACTTGGAAGGTTTGCGCAATATTGAAGGCTGAGGTATCGAGAGGATTGCCGTTTTCGCACGAATCTATAAAAAAGATTAAGGTTGTATCCACGAGATACCGGTAGAAAGAAACCAACAGGTGTCAAACCAACTATAGTAAAGGCGTCGTTCAGCCAGATAATGGAATATGATTATTTGATCAAATTCTTGGCGCTTGGGGATTCTGGCGTGGGAAAAACTAGTTTTCTTTACCAATATACTGATGGAACGTTCAATTCTCGTTTTATCTCAACTGTTGGTATCGACTTCAGAGAAAAGAGAGTGGTAAGATACGTTTGCAAAATATCTTACTGCTAAATGTCCATTTAAGGAATATGATGTTGCTTGTCACAATTTAATGTATAATGTAATGTAATGTGTAGGTTTATCAAACTGTAAATGGTAGAAGTCAACGGATACATCTACAACTGTGGGATACTGCTGGCCAAGAGCGGTAAAGTACAATTTTATATGGTTGAGCCTATGCTTGTTTAGAGTTGACCCATTTGTCTTAAACGTACAACCCAATAAAGTAATATGACTTTACAGATTTCGAAGTCTAACTACAGCCTTTTATCGAGATTCAATGGGATTTCTGCTCATGTTCGACTTGACCAATGAACAATCATTTTTGGAAGTGAGAAACTGGCTGGATCAATTGAGGGTACTGATACAATTCTCAAGGAAGTACTCTTTTCTAATGTATAATCGACACTGGCATCAGACTAAACACAATGAGGAAGCATCGAAAGAATTTTGACTACAAATTTTAGCTACAGCTTCACCGAGAAAGCAAATATTGAAAATAAATACGTAGACGCGTAATGGATATGTGAAATTAGTTTTGCATTTGATTTGGATGCTTGTACATTTCATTGCAAGCATTTACGCACAAAAGGATTCCTGTTATGAATATCTACATGTATCACATTTTTGTCTTCTGATATGTTTCTTGACTTTATGTGCAGACTCACGCGTACTGCGAAGATCCGGATATAATTCTTTGCGGCAATAAATCGGATCTTGAGGACAGACGCGTAATTGGAGAACGAAAAGCGCGAGAACTGGCAGAAAAGTACGGGTAAGTGCGTTACTGCTGCGTGTGGTAACTAAGTCGGAACAGGAGAATCCGATGAAAGCAAAGATGGGATATTAACCTATAGCATTTGATAAGGTAACAGATGATCTGACAGTCTAAAAGTTGGTGTCATAATTCCAGATTGGTCTACCTGGAGACTAGCGCTGCCACGGGACAAAATGTCGCTAGAGCGATTGAAATCCTGCTGGATCGCGTAATGCGCAGGATGGAAATGACCGTGGACAAATCCGTGTTACCTCATCAAAGGATTTTAAAGTGTCACGGTAGCCAGCAGGAGCAAATTCCAATTAAAGGAAACTGCTATTGCTGACACTCAAGAGTAGTCGTAAGCTAAGAAGATGCGCAAATTGACTTCTGGCGACTGCCCATTGTTGATACCGCAATCTCTCCTGAACGTTCAGACTTTCGAAATGTCATTGAGTGCCACGTCATCTCTAATCGCGGGCATATTGACCCTTTGTATCATTGCACTACCAACCGACAATCAGTCATAAGATTCTTCCAAATTGTCCTCCTACGGCGTATCCACTTCTTTTTCCCTGTAAGTGTAATATCGTAATACGAAAAAAGGATACTTTCTGATGTCTTCTGCTCTGGTAAAATTTTAGCGTAGCTGCGAGTACGTTGTCACATGAGCGTGCCTGAATAATTGGTGATGCAGGGATTATCAGGACTCTACGAGTTCTATCGATGGATCTTGAGATGTAAATGATACAAAAAATCGTAAGCGAAGCATGCTTACGGAGGAATAGTGAATTTAAGTAGTCATCGGTTTCCCGAAAGTACGAAACTTATGAAAAGCTCCCGATGCGTGCCTTTCGCGTAAGTCAAAAAGCATTATTGAACAATTCACGTTTAGAAAACGTAATCCCGAGGACATTCCCATAATATGTACAATCAGACCAAGTAAAAACATCTGAAGCTGAATCGTTTGCACTCGTATTCGTTCGTGACTATTCGTATTCCACTGCTGACGCCTTCACGTTGCAGTTGTTGATCGAGAAATTGTATTGATTGAGATTTACATCTACAGAAAACTGTGACATTTGGGTACTCTATCGTGTGTCTTCCTCTCTTTTCCACCGCACCCCCCCCCCTGGCCCTCCCCACCGACATGCACATCACTACCGTTAATTCGGAGCCGATGGCACTACTATACGGTGATTACAAATCGATAAAATATATATTTAGTGAGAAACAATGAAAATCAATCTGAGTACCTGCAACGGAGTCTAATGCGCATATGTTAATCAGCTTTGATCGGTGATGTTGTACTTTTTAGGTTGATCGTATTATTCGGAGTCTGATGAATTCTTAAAAATAGTAACATGCACTATGTCGATACTTACAAACTTGACTGATTGGCTTGTGATTATTGGTCAAAGAGAAAAGTAAATCGATACGTGACAAGTTTCATTGCAAGGATTTTAGCGTACCATCATGTGCGCTCCATCTCGCATAAAAGAAAAAGTCATATTTAATTCGAGTTGCATATTTTTATTATCATAATAAAGAGTACCTACGCTAACCGTACATATACATACATCGTCTATCTATATACAATATTTAAAAACTTTTTACAGTAGAAAGTTTAACGTTTGGCAACGAAGAATCGAAAAATTGTTGGCAGGAATGTCTTTCCTCGTAAGAGATCTCTTACTCTGAGATATTAACTAGTCCACACGAGACTTGCCTATCGAAATAACAAATAACCAATAAACAATCAATGTCGACATGCGGATGGCGTGCCTTGTAAGAGAAAGAAGGACAATTAAGAAGAAGAAAATTATGATTGACCAATTGGATAGGAATTTTGGAGAGGTCGTTAGCTTGGTAGATCGATAGGTAACTGATTCCGAGTGACGGGGTACAGAGAGGAAAATATGAATTTTACATTAGCTGTGTTACGTGTGGACTTGCGTCGTCTGCATGGAGCCGATCGTCGATAGAGGAGACGGAATAGCGCCGATAAAGCTGGGACAGGGCATGGAAACTAAATTGGAAGATGCGTTGTCAGCAGGTCGATCGGCACTCTGCAGAGAGAAGTGCCGGTAGGACATGAACTCGGGAGGATTTATGGGAAGTGGCTGTTCTCGTTTTAAAGCGGCTCTTTGTTTTTTCATTTTCATGTAGCCGAGAACCGAGACGAGTACGATAAAGACAACAAAGCCCATGCAGCTACCGACGATGAGACCAAGTCGTCGAGTAAGTATACCCGCAAGCCCACCCCTGTCGGGTATGTTGCCGTCTCCGATGAAAGAGTTGGACGCGTCGAGCGTCCTTACCTCGGTGCACTTACTCATAGGCGAGTTCACCATGAGAGGTAGTGGGCCATCGTAACTGCTCTCGAGCGGTTCTTCTTGCGAGCCGTTCGACAGCCACGGGTTGGCCTCGTCGTGAATTGGAGTTCCCCAGCTGCCAAGACCCAAAACGCAGATCAGGTATCGAGTATGTGGGGCGAGCTTCTTCAGTCTTACCGAGCGGGCCTTTGGCGTCAGCAGCTTTCCCTTCACCTGAAGCAGTTTAGAAAAAATGTTGATTTTTCCCCTTTTTCTCTCTCTCTCTCTCTCTCTCTCTCTCTCTCTCTCTTTCACACACACAAGGTAACGTCGATTTCGCCAGGAGGTGCCACGCGTTGCCCGTAATGTGTCTCGTGTCCCAAGCTAATACTTAAAATTCCGTCGATATATCTTACCAGTCGATTCTGCAGTTTCGGGAAATTCGTATGTTATCTTTATTGTCTCCATTCGTTACTTCCTGTAATCTTTAATATTAATATTGATCGTACCGTCAATCACCCACCTCATCAACGTTATCGAGAGCGTGATAAGCCACTTGATATCCGTAAAGTCCTGAGTGATTACGACTCTGCCAAGAGACCAGAACGGAGAATGGTTGGATGTCCTGAATAGCAAGTTTGAGGACAAGCGGCGCCGAGCAAAACGCATGTGGGTCCAGGTCGAGAAAGACGAGTCCACGAAGTTCCGGAGGCTGCTCGCAGCGCAAAGAGCCGACACTTGGCTCCACGTCGATCTGGCTCTTTTCATGGGCAACGTTCGTCTCTGCGGTTGCTCTTTCCGACCATGTCGCAGTTCGAAGACGAGCTGGAGCGCCGCGACGGTTCACGGCGCCCACTAGCTTCTGATGATCTCGTAGCCACTCCCATAGCTCCTGAGATTCGCAGCCACAGTGTAATGGATTTTCTGCGGTTCAGAGAATCGAGCTTAGAAAGAGCGAATGCTGGCATCAACGAAATACGAAAGTTTAACGTGATAGAGACCAGACTCGATTGATAAAGTAAGAATAAAGATAAAAAGAATGTATCTACGTTTACACGTCTGAGGTTATATAAAATTGTGACTGACCTTCGGCACGAAGACTACGTATTTGCGTTTCAAGCGGACGAAATGCGTTTAGTGGCAAATTCTCGAGATAATTTCGGCTAAGGTCGAGGAGTCGAAGTTTCTTCAAAGGTCTGAATGCCTCGCTCGAAACAACATTGATCCAATTTCCGTAGAGATGAAGTTCCACGAGGCTGATCAAATTCTTAAAGGTGATTTTACCAAGAACACTGATCTGGTTGTACGAGAGATCAAGAATCTGAAGAGACTTGAGATCGGCGGGAAATTCCTCAAGGTCCTTGAGTCGATTGCGCGTCAGGTTGAGAAGCCGGAGATGTTCCATGCCCTGGAGCCGCTCCTTTGGAAGAATCTCGAGGCTATTAGTGCCAAGATGGAGAGTCAGAAGATGTGGGAGACTACGAAAAGCGCTCGGTGATATCCTGAGAATGGAGTTTTGCCTCAGGTAGAGATGCAGAAGCCCGGGGAAGGGTTCGAAGTCACGGGACGTGAGGATACTCAAATTCGTCTCGGAGATGTGTATCTCCTGAAGGTTTGGGTAAGTCGGCTCGTTCGGCGGGAGTTGATGGATTCTCAGCAGAGGATTTCTTGTAAGATTGAGCCAGCTGAGGTTCGGAAGATTCTGTCCGGTGAGCGCAAACGCTGGGATCTGGTGGAACTTGTTGTCCGCGATGTCGAGCCTGCGTAACATCCTCGAGTGACCGAAAAAGTTTTCTGGTAGCGCACTCAGATGATTCCCGCTGAGATACAGTGACTGGAGCCGCGAGAGATTGGCCGAGGCGAAGCCGGACATCCGCTCGAGACGATTGCGCGATATATCGAGCTCTCGGAGAAACGGAAGCTCCCCGAGCCGTGACACCTCGACGCTCCTGATGTGATTGTCACTCAACGAGAGCAGCTCCAGGCTGGGGGCACCCGAGAGCGCAGCATACGGGATCTCAGCGATCTCGTTCTCCTCCAGGCGCAACTCGCGCAATGACTCTAAACCCACGAGAAGGTCATCGGGTAGGGTCACGAGGCGGTTGCGTGCCAGTCGGAGGTGGGTCAGCCCTTTGCACGGGCGCAAGAGTCCGTTTGGAAGTGGAGCGGATATGCCGGAATCCTCGGCGAACAGCTCCTCGAGGGCAGGCAGTCCGGCTAAAGAGTTCTGGGCAAGGTGCCCAAGGTCGTTTCCCGAAAGTTCAAGGACGTGCAGTCGCGGTAGTCGAATCAGACCTAAAGCTGAGCCAGGAATTCGATTATCCTGAAGATTCAGCTCCAGAAGTGCGTCGAGATTGTCCAAAGCTCCGAGTTCAATTATTTCGATCGAGCAATTGCGTAGGTAGAGCCTCTCGATGGGCAGTCCTTCGAGAAAGATGGCTCCGTGCAGAGTGACCAATCGATTGTTCGACAATTCCAGGACTCGTAACTTGTTGAGGGCGCCGAGGGCGTAGGGCTCGAGGTGCTCGAGGCCATTGTCCCGCAGATAGAGCTCCTCCAGCTGATGCAGATCTGAGAAGGTTCGTGCCGTCACGCGGTTCAATCGATTCATGCTCAGCTCAAGAAATTTGAGGGCCTGCATTGGCCTAAAGGCCCCATCTTCTATTCGAGAGATTGTGTTGTTCGTTAGGTAAAGACGCTCGACGAGAAGAAGGTCGCGAAAGAGCGGCGCCTGAAGACGCGTCAGTCGGTTGTGACCCAGCCACATGATACGCACCGAGGTCTGACCTCGCAGTGAGTCATTGTGCAGCACCGAGAGGCCGTTGCTGTCGAGCTGAATCGAGACAAGCGAGCTACCGCCGCCATCGTCTTGATCGTCATCGTCATCGTCGTCATCGTCCGAAGGGGACCTGATGTCGATCGATGAGGTAGTAGCTGAGGATGACGGCGAAAGGGAAGTAAAGTGAAAGATGTCGGCTAAAACGACGAGGCGGTTCCCCTGGAGGTTCACGTGCTGAAGACTGCGAAGAGAACGAAGTGCGCCGGTCTCCATGTGTGTGATCGCGTTGTTCTGAAGATGAAGCTCGAGAAGGGAGGGCAGCGCCGAGAAGACGCCTCGCTTGACCTCGGCGATCTGATTGTCCTGGAGCCGTAGCTCTCGAAGATGACGAAGACCGGAAAACGTCCCTCGCTCGAGCTCCCGTATTTCGTTGCCGTCGAGCGAGAGGGAAGAAAGATTCTCGCAATTTCGCAGAAATTCCCGCGGCATTCTGTCGATGTAATTGTTACTCAAATGAAGCTGGCTGAGTCGACCCAGAGTAGCGAGGGCCCTCGCGTCGACGCGTCTTATAGCATTTTGCTGGATATCGAGGACCGTTAGTCCGATGCTGCCGACGAAAGCCTCCCCCGGGATCTCGAGGATATTATTCTCCGCGAGATAGAGCTCCTGCAGTTCCGGTAGACGGGCAAACGTTCCGCCGACGTGGTGCACGTGATTGTGGCTCAATTCGATCGTGCGAAGTCGGACGTTTCCGCGGAACGTTCCCGTCTCGAAGTACACTATCTTGTTGTGGCTCAGGTCCAGGGACTCGAGTTCCTTGAGGGAGACGAAGGCGCCTCCGTGGATGCTCTCGATCGAATTGAAATACAGAGACAGGCTGTGCAGAAGGGGAAACGCTCTGAAGCAATCACTCTCAAGCTTTTGGAAGTCGTTACTGCTCAGATCCAGGACGAGGAGAGATCCGAGGAGGGAGTACTCGTCATCCGGAAGGCCAGAGATCTCGTTCCAAGCAAGTCGGAGCGAGGCGAGACTCTCGAGTCGCCGGAGCGGAGCCACCGGGAAGCTTCGAAGCCTGTTTTCCCCAAGGTCAAGGTCGGTCAAGCTGTTCTCGAGTCCCGCAAAGGCATACTCCGAGATTTTACCAATCTTGTTAGCCTTCAGGCTCAGTTTTATCAGCTTCAATCCGTAAAAGCAGTAGGACGAAAGTTCCTGCATCAGGTTACCCTCGAGATCGAGGACAGCCAACCTGCGCAATTCAGCAAGAGACTTTTGAGGAACGTGGAGAAGCCGCCCGGAGACTATCGCCAAGGACTCCAGGCTCTCCTCAAGATTCGCAAAGGCCATCTCTCCGATCCTCTGAATAGACGATTGGGAGATTTGCAAGTGCCTGATCCGGGTGCCCACGGGAAACGTCGCTTTGCGCAACTCCAGGATACTTTTGTCCGGCTCATAGACACTCAGCGACTGCACGACCGCTCGTACATTTACACCTGCAACAGCATCATCGCGCGCTATCACGATTGGCAGCAGCTCCCTTTTGCTGTCGACACATGTGTTTGCAGACTTACCGCTAATGACCGCATCTTCGCCACCGACGACGCCCCGCTGCTGTACCGCCAATAAGGTCGTCCTCAGACTCTCCTCCGTCGCAGCAGCGCACTCCAGAAAGAGGCCATCCTCGAAATTATAACACGAGCAACCGAGCATGGCTTCCGAGGGGGAGGGACATTCGGCGGTCCACGCTAGACTGCTCAGTTTCGTTAGGAGGAGGCAAGTAGCCGCGACGACGATTTTGACCGCATAGCATCGTGATCCTCCGCCGCCTCTTCTTCGTCTCTTCCTACGTAGGATATCAGGTATGTGCCACTCTTCCGTCATCCTCTCACCACATTCCGTGCCTTCTTCCTTGGATTTCTGAAACGAAGAGATTTGCCAGGATTGCCTTGATCCGCCAATTTTAGCATAGCATCTCTATGTGCTGTGACGTGATTTTTCGAATCACGGTTCACCAAGTCGGCTCCGGTTACCGATACAGATAACGTTCTCGATTTCTGGTTCCCTTCGGGTCGCCACCCTGCTCAGGAGCTACGCTCTCGGGTTGATTCGTACAGTTATGTCAAGGCTCTCGTAAGATTTCGTTATTGTTTAGTTGAGGTCGAGGGACTCGAATCTGCCGTTGGGAGATAGTCTCGACGAACCGAATTGCCCGGCAGAGGAGACGACCCGACGGAGACGTCTCCACGGACCGGCAGAAGCACGGGTGAGATACCGGCGCCCCGCTGGAGATGGGCAAAGGGCTGTAAAGCGGGCGGAGATAGTTGTGATACGGTTAAGGGCAGGAGAGGAGCCCCCTGCCCGAGTTAACACGTTGACTGCCATCGGGGTCACCGGTGACCGGCGACGCAGCAAATAATAAAAGTACATAATTAGAGTAAATATGGATACTGATACATTTTTCAATAATACCATTGTTACTATAATGGTTTGAAGAAATTAATGCAATATAGAACATACAAAAATAATTTTATAACTAATTTTATTTGCTGCAAATAATATTTCAACATAATATGCATTGCATAATGAAAAATTCACATTGCCGCCTTGGGCAAACCATGGAAAATGCGCTTGGCAGTCAACGTGTTAAGGACGTGGTGCCCAGCTGTCGCCCGATGCCCTGGGGAAGCGGCCGTGGAGGATCTCCAGGAGTTACGTACCGATTCGTTAAGGAACGCTCTCGATTTGGTTTAAAGGGACGACTCGAAGGAGATAGAAGAGTTATCGCTTAAAAGGCTCTCGACCAATCAGAATGATCAGAATGATTAGTACTCGGATTTGGCTATTGCCAAGGCAGTCTGTCTCGAGACACCGACCGACGTGTCACGGGCTGGCTCGCGCTCGCGTGCTGTTTGTTGATAGTTTTTCTTGCCGTGTTTCGCTACGGTATAGCAAGTTCTCGGTTCGTACAGTTCTCGCGTTGTTCTCGCGATATCCAGGCGATTCTATGAATTCCTGTGAGTGTTCCGAAAGTGTAGTGCAGTGACCATGTGAGTGTCTTTTGGATGCAGTTCTCGGCCTCCACGGATTAGCTGCACCAGCTCCGGTGAGTCTCCCAATTTATTAATCGGTGAAGAGATTTCGATAGGTAGTTAAGATTCGCTCTCTGTCAGATCGGTGATCACAACAACCCGAGAGAGAGACATTAGATGTTAAGGAAATGATAGAGACCCAAGGAATATGAGTGGAGTTATTGGACGTGGGAAGCTGTAAGCAAAGCATGCAAAGTGCAGGAAAGCGCAAAGGCGAGGATGGGAGAAATGAGGACTATGGGAAGATTGAGCGGCCACCTAGGTCGGTCGCTAATTCACTACTTTTACCGCCGGACATCGATTTCCACTACTCGCTGTCTCGACTCTTCTAGGTGTTAATCGTATGTCCGTTAATAATATCCATAATATTCGGATGACAAATTGAACAATCGTTCGTCAATATGAAATCCAGTGTTAGTCGTGTTAAAAAAATGTTGGATTTAAAAAAAAAATGGTCATCTATCGCCAATCTACATCGGGCCATTCGTTTTTCCAAGCAATTTATCAGCAGTCGTGCCCAGTGAAATATTTTGAGGACGCACTCATACGAATATTTTCGGAAAATCCCTAATCGCCAACCAGAATGGAGAAACTCGTTTCCGTCTGGATGAGATGCCAGCCACATTATAATTATATCCATGTCACTCGCACCTTATCAACGAAATTTCTTGAAACGAAAGAGAAGCCGTTTCAAATCAAAGAACGTCTCTTCTCCGTTGCTCCGACAATCATTCTTTTTCCTTTTCCGCGCAAAAATCCTTACACGAAGCAGCGCTTACCGAATGCCTCTCGTCGGACTCGGGATATTGTAGAATCTTTTGTGCATTAGCAAATGTACAGTTCCTTTAGACTTTCTTACTTTATGCGAGTTATTGTCGAGACGCGTGTCCTCCCTGGAAAGACGAGAAGACGAAGACAAACGACATTGCACAACCGTTGACGCCGATGAGACGGCGCTCAAGAGAGACTAAAGGGTTCGATAGGTTGGATGCTGGACGCTTTGGATGGGCTTGATGCAGTGGATCGGGTGGTGAGGAGTTCTGCACGCATTCTGCAGGAGTTTTGCACGGCCATTGACGGAACGTCGAGAGAGAGAGAGAGAGAGAGAGAGAGAGAGAGAGAGAGAGAGAGAGAGAGAGAGTGTGTGTAATGGATGGTAGACCCGACGCGCGTCATCTGCAGACGTAGAGAAACCAGGAGGCTGATTCCGAATGCTCCTCCTTTCCCTCGCCCCCTTCCCTGTCCATCCCGCCTCTCAATCCTTCGAAAGGACCTTCGAAAAGCGCTGTAAGCGCAACTTTTCATAGTGCCGCGACGACCATTAGTCACCGTGGAAACGGCTCATTCCTTTTCTCAATGTTCGACCTACAAGTATAAGGTAATTGTTAATTGAACAGAAGAACATCTTGTTACGTTACATTATCATTGAATTAAGATTGACCCAACATAAAAGTTTCGATCGTTTACAGGTACTCAGACTCACGATACTGATAAACGTTAGAGAGGCCAATAAGACGCGATTGATATGGCTTTCTACGTCGTCCTTAGTTGTCGTTGTCTACGTTGTCCATTATCACTTTTAATCCTCGTAATATTCAAAATTACGGAAGAAATTAAAATTTGATACATACTATAAATCATGGGAATGAAATCGGTCAAATTGGAGTTTACAGGAAAATCGCGAATTTAATACTTATTGGAGAGACCATCTTCCCGTGAACTTCAATGTAATCGAGTCCGCTAATCTGACAATCAGTGAAACGTTCGATAATTGTACATACATTTGCACAGTTCCGTTGCGTCGCAGAGTCTCGTCGTGTGACAGTTCAGTTCAGTTGCAGATGATCATGGCAGGTCAAAGGTTTGACGAGGGCGAGAAACGAGGGGGGTAGCGACTGTCGCAGAGAGGCCAGTATTCAAATCGTTGAAAATAGTAGCGATTTTACCCTTCAGAGAACGGGCGGATCTTTCAACAACGTCTACGATAACGTCTACGATTTTTGACTTGGAACATTAACACGTAAATATTTATACACAGGATGAGTTGTCCTAGAGACTTAGAATCTGGGAGGAATCTTCCAGGCAGTATTAGGTACGCTATTCTCCAATCAGATTAGCAGTACCCTACAGGCAAGGTGTCCGTAACTGTCGTGTGGATCGGTATATCAGTGCCCTGACATGTTTGTAATACAATATCAAGGAGACGTTACCTGTAGGTGGGTGTAACTGATTGGAGAGAATAGCGCACCTAATACATAGGGAGGCTCCTCCCAGATTCTCGGAGTCTAGGATGATAACTCACCCGGTATGAAAGAGATACTGTCAGAAGTGTACGAGACCCCAATGTAGAACCGAAAAATCGGCGTCCCGTCTTTCGATGGTTAATGCCGGATCTTGTCTAATTCTAAAAGAGAACACGTCAATGAGTCTCTTACCGGTGGAACGCTACGTGAGGTCAGCGCGAGTCGGCTGGACTGACCCGACGGTTACATGACACGTGACGACTTCAACTTCAGCCTGTGATGTGCTAATGTTGCTTTAACTTGAGGCTCCTGTCCGGGGTCGACCCGAACACACGTGGCCTTCAGCTTGGACTTAAAACGATAGGTACGCCCTACTGATAGGTTTCCTCTACTTTCCTCGGTTCCTCGTCGTCTTGTCCAATCTTCTTTTCCCATCGCATCTCATCGCATTCCAGCAGCCTGTCGACTCACAATTTTCATTAAATTTACCCTGAAATTAAAAAAGTCCAATCCAGCTATCGTTTCACCTCTGTATATCACTATAGTTCCAGCCGATTGACACGCTCTGGAGAATTTCAAGCTCGGCACAGTCATTTAGTTTCAGTTAAACACACGCGAGACACGAGACGCGACTGACTCGGGAGCATCTCGGGAGCATCTCGGGAGCATCTCGGGAGCATCTCGGGACTCGGGATGATCTGCGATATGACGCGTCAACACAACGGAAACCGAAACTTGGTTGAGCCTTTCTGTAACGTGTAGTTTAATGACTTCCCATAGATTCCAAGTAGAAAATGTCAGGTCTGATGAGAATTGCTTGAAAGTGCATGAGAATAATTGAGAGTTTGCTCGATTTGCTTCTGTACAAAATGAATTTGTCTGTAATTAGAGAAACCACGCCGATGTGATACGCAGCGCGCCGCTCATTTGTTATCATCCCCATTAAAAAGCCTGAGACGTTGCAGTCGTTGTCCGGTTGCCACTCAACTGCAAGGCCGATTCTGCAAAAGGAAACAGCGAGAACGAGCCGAATCGAGTCGAGCCGAATCTAGTCGAGCTAAGCCGAACAAATACGAAATAACGCGGACGGACACGAGCCCACCGAGCTACGAGCTACGAGCTACGAGCTACGAGCTTGTATCCTGCAACGAAAAGTGAGCAGACGCCTCCCCATTCTCTCTCTCTCTCTCCCTCTCTCGTTCAGCCCCACCCAACGTACACATACGCAGAGTGGAGATCCAAGCACGTAGATCCTACCTACTGCAGCATCCAATTCGATGGTTGGGTAAGGTAGTAAGGTGGTAGTTGCCGGGATATTGACACGCACACACAAATGCACCAGGGTGGCTAGTAGAGGACAAGACGCGAATTGCGGCAGTGATGGGTTCAGCAGGCGCAGGCGACACGATTGAGGAACTCAGGACAAGGAGTTCCAACGATGTGTTAGTCACGCATCCAACGTACAAAATCCGTAGAGGTAGAGACTCCAACAGTCCTGAGCCACCGCCTACTGTTGGGTCACCGAACTCCCGAGGGAGTCGCGACTGCGCGCAAGCTCCGAGCTCCGAGCTTCAAGCTTCAAGTATTGCCAACATCCAGAAGATTAAACTACAAGTACCGCACAAAGTATTATCTTCTGATCAAAGTACTCGTCAAAGTCTGGCGGGGCTCTGCGACACCGGACTGGCGCACCTCAAAGAGAATTAGGTATTTTTTTCATTGACGTTCGCGTCGACGATTGTCACTGATTTTTCTCGTGATTTCGTATGCGGGCAACAGGGGCACAAACAGGAGGAAGAGATTCCAAATATAGTATAATACATATATTTGAGCCTTAGTGAAGTGGCCAGAGTTGGTGCTCGGTGCCTCCTGAGATATCTCTTAAGTCGGCCCCTTATTATTTCGTTGTTCCTCGACGTTCCTCGTTCGCTTAATAATGTTGGTACATAGCGAACGAGAGAAGAATGGCTGAACGCTATCAAATCATGCACGGCACATGAAGGGTACATTAAGACACACGCGTGTGTCTCACGTCCAAATTTTCTAGCTGGCTGCGGGGGTACTGAATCCGATAATGGACAGCTGGAGTTGCCTTGCCTGGAGTTCATTTATTTCTCTTGTGCTTGAAAGTCATACATGTTTGTTTAATTGAATTATGCGCGGCAGTATTCAAAGTGCCATTCACGTAGCGGCAAAAGGGGAAGAAAGCCACGTGCCTTCGACCGTCGCTTATTCTTTTATCCTTTATCGGTGGCGTATAGTGCATTGTACAAGTATTTGGTACTTGATAGTTTAGCCACGAGTTTCCGTGATATATTTATCCGTATTTTTATGTCTTACTTCGTACATATTTCATTCGATCATAATATAATTATACTATTACATAATAGCAATAGATACTCGTAAAATAAAAAATCAGTAAAACAGATTGCAAGATTTCAAGTTTAAAAATTATTCAGTGGAAATATAAGAACATTTTTTATCTCGAGCCATAAATCGTGAAAATATCGGATTTCAAAGTTGTACATACTCAAGTATACGACGGTATATTTATATAGTGAAACTAGACGCTCTTCGATTTTATATATTTCAAGAATGGCACGATAAATGTTATTAAAATGTTGTCTAAATCGAAATTGCGCTATCGTCCAAAATACACATAAAATTTGAATCTTTATCTTGAAATCCGTCTAGCGATCGAACGATCGAACGATCGAACAACCTGAAGGACACGTTTATCAATCTAAATCGCGACGTCACTTGAGCCGCTCCTGCTTTCTTCATCCTGTTAGAGAAATTCGACAAAGAATCAAACGGCAACCGATAAATGACAGCAGTCGAAAAATCTTGCCAAACTTTTGAGCTTCCAAGTAGGAAAACTTGCGAGCCCGCATCCTCCAAGATGGAGCTTGATTACTTTCCAGAGAGGATTCGTCATCTTATATTGGAGAACACGATAGTGAAGAGAGGGTTCACAGAGGAACGGCACCTGCACCACGGGGGCAGGAGGCAGGGGGCAGGGGGCAGGGGGCAGGGTCGTTCGCGACCTAGACGACTATCCTTCCTCGACTCAGCTGGACTTGGTTATTTCCGACGCCTTCCACTATCGATTGGCTGTTTCCGATTGGCTTCCGCGCCCTGGCGTCCACGACGCTCCTTTCCGAGGTGGGCCGATGCTCGTCGATCCTCGTCGGACCACAACGATACTCAGACATCCTCTCACATGTCTCTTAAGCCAGCGCGCGACTAGTCGTTTTCTTCGAGATGAGTTTAATCAAGTTCCGAAAGTCGGCGCGCTACCGGCTACCGGCTACCGGCTCCCTACTGCCATGGCTAATCTCCGTGTTTACTGCTCAAACCGAGAGGCTCTTAATTTTCCATCTTTACCCTGGCTACAATTCTTCCACGAAAAAGTTTGGGCAGGGGGCAGGGGGCAGGGGGCAGGGGGCAGGGTCGTTCGCGACCTAGACGACTATCCTTCCTCGACTCAGCTGGACTTGGTTATTTCCGACGCCTTCCACTATCGATTGGCTGTTTCCGATTGGCTTCCGCGCCCTGGCGTCCACGACGCTCCTTTCCGAGGTGGGCCGATGCTCGTCGATCCTCGTCGGACCACAACGATACTCAGACATCCTCTCACATGTCTCTTAAGCCAGCGCGCGACTAGTCGTTTTCTTCGAGATGAGTTTAATCAAGTTCCGAAAGTCGGCGCGCTACCGGCTACCGGCTACCGGCTCCCTACTGCCATGGCTAATCTCCGTGTTTACTGCTCAAACCGAGAGGCTCTTAATTTTCCATCTTTACCCTGGCTACAATTCTTCCACGAAAAAGTTTCGATCGCGCAGCAAAACACCAGGGACAGACATTTGCCGACTAAAGGAGACGAACGAACGAAAATCTCTTTTTGTTTTTCTTCATGTTTCTCAATTTAAAACCGAGCCAATTCGATGAATAGTAAATGCATCTAGCAAGGATATTGATAGTTATCTGCGCTAATGGTAACGAGTGATAAATAATTGCAAGGGACAAACTTCTACCATAGGGTAAAGATCAGGGAGATGAATCACTCGCAAGAAGAAGCAACGAAACAAAGAGGAGTGTTGGCAAGATCCATGATATGAAGATGCCGCAAGAGGAGGCAGTGGATCATGGATGGACCATTTTCGGAGTGTTGGACGGAGGTGGGTGGGGGCGGTTGAGCGCCGCTTATGTTGATTTTATATTATTTGTGCCGGGGACGCACATGAACACATGAACACATGAACACATGAACACATGAACACATTGACCCCAGTACAGCTCGATTCTCGATTGCCCAAACCACTGACTGCAATGCAGTCGGGTGCATCGCGTCGCCTCGCCCCGCCACGCGTTACATCACATCGAATGGTATCGTGTTCCTTTAGGCGCCATGGGAAATACAATCCTGATGTCAGAGTTTCATTCTAACCTGATAATTGTTGATATGGGATTAGAGTAAGGTTAGTCGATTGCTATTCGTTTTGCCTCTGCGTTCCCGTTAGCGCGACGTGCGCGCGTATAACGAGTCAATGAACTATTATTTAGTTGATCGTAAAGATAGTTGCCAAAAAAAAGTAACGCATAATTACCCAAAGAAAAGTTCTCTCTATATTTTCATGAGGTTTGGTCTTCGAATTGCAGTGAACTTTTATTGAACTATGGTAAAGAGGAAAAAGAAGGTCAAGTTTTTCCGAAAAGACCAGAATAGAGTGTTTGGCAAGTTTTTTCTCTGTTCGTTGAAAGACTTGAGCTTGTTTTTCATCTGCATCCGTGTTCGCACGGGATTCGTAGCAAACGCAGCTGCGTTCATATGAAGCATGAATACAAGAAATATAAGATCAAATCGTTTCGCATCGTGAGGGCGCAGGTGTCATTTTTTATTTTCGTAATTATTTGTTCATCCCCAAGACTCATTGCCAATGAAACACGGGCGCAGTTGGGCTACCGTGCCACCGCCGTGCCACCGCCGTGCCACGATCGATTACGCCGATAAAGTGGATACGTGAGGCGAGTACGCAGTCCAGAGAGGGAGCCTTCGAACTTTAGGCAACGGGCAAGAGAGGGCAGCAACAGCAAAGTTTCCTCTGGCGGTGCGTGAAAGAATTATTAAAAATAAATAGACAGACGATATAACGAAGGCCACATAGCCGCCCATGTTGTGTTACGCAGGGTGCATACGCAGGGACAGACGCAAAGAGATATGGAAATCTTGCTCGGGTGACTCCACCTATAGTTTGATTGGGAAATCATTAGAAAAATGACATTAGACGATGTTACAATGTGGCGAATCGAGCACCCGCGCGCCGAAATTTCATCATTGAGATTGGACAGGAGGATGCTCCCTCTCAAAGTGTACGGTCTTTCGGGGGCTAAGGGGTGGCGG